CTTGTGGTATTGAGTATCCTTTGATACTCAGTTTGTTTTATTTGTGGTTTTGAATTAGGAACATATGAGAACTCGCCCATACAGGACATGGACGAAAAGCTTGTATTTAAAGACCGCTGAGTCCCTTAGAGGAACAGCAGACTTCGACGGACAGAGTATTTCTAATATACTTGGTTGAACAGTTACCTCTTCAAGTCCCTATTCTTTATCTCTTTCTCTCGGAGCCTCCCTTAGCGCAGTACGCCCATAGGTTGTAGATCAACTTGGGCGCTACTCCTATTGTACCCGGAAGCATGACTAGCACCCCGGTGCGAACATGTTACATTTTTTTAACCTCAGCAAGTGGTTAGAAACTTGTGTGTAAGATCACGGATCAATAGGCACAACTCGGCAAAGCTAGCACGAAGGCGGAGAAGCCTAGCAGTGGCCCGCCTACCCCACCTATACAATAGACCCTCTCACGATGCGCAGTGGGAAACAGGTCTCCAGAGAAGGGCTAACGAAGCCCAAGAGACCAGGTCAAGTGAAAGGACCAAAGAACGGATTTGCGATCGACGATCCAGGAAGACAACTAGCTCGAGATCAGGCAGCTCAGGATTTCAAAGAATCTAAAGAAGAGTTTAGCCAACAAAGCCTATCTACACCTGGAGGCTTCCCAGTTACCCCCGGAAAGGGAAAACTACCTGGAACTAGCGAAAGTTCATCGAGACTACCTACAGAAGGTACAGGTGCAGCACCTGGCCCCGAAGACAACGGTAGCAGTAGCGATAGCGAAGACAGTATGGCAAGCTCAGTAAGAGACCTACCTGGAGGTCCCCCGGGACCACCAGACCCTCCAGGAGGAGGATCTGGAGTCGGTGGCATACCTGTCAATCCCCCTAAGATCAAGCTCCCTCTACCTGCGAACTTCTCAGGAAAGGGCGATGATTTGAAACCCAAAGCATTTCAGCGATGGGAAACAGCGGAACATCAATATCTGAGACTGCACGGCATCAATATCGAGGAACATAACACAGGAATGTACATAGGAGCCTTCTGTGAAGGCAGAGCTCTTGACGCCTATCAACAGTGCATGGATGCATATGAGGAAGGAGCAAGAGCAACCAGGGTACTTGAAGCCCTGAAGGAGTGATTTCAATCATCCCAAAATAGCGAGGATATATTCAAAGCCTTCAACAGCATCAGCCAAACCCACGGTGGAAAGACAGAACATATCACCAAGATAGCAACAGACCTCTTACTCTATGCAAAGCGTATGCCCCGCGGTACAGTATCAGCCTACATTCAGAAGCGCCGTTTCTATGATGCTATGCACCCCCTACTCCGCAGAGAGGTAGAACCAATGGAGGAGGATAACGACGATATCCATGACATAATAAAGAGGGCCGAGCGAAAGGATACTATCCTGCATGAAACCAATGCCTATGGAACCAGACCATCACTACCACCTCAAAGGGAACAGCAAGACCAAATGCTGGGTCCATCAAGGACTAAGAAATCAAAGTTTCAGAAAAATGCGAGGCAATCCACTAAGGAAAAACGAAGGGAGAAGGGAGAATGCTTCGAATGTGGAAAAACCGGACATATGGCCCGAGAATGCCCAACCAAGAAGGGAAAAGGAAAGATGATCAAAAAGGAGCCTGCAGCAAACTACATAGAACTAGACGAATACGAGGATGTGCAGATCAACACTATGGAGGCCCAGTG